TCAGCATTCTGGCTACTTGCTATTAAGCAAGGGCTGAAAATCAAATTTAATCAGTCTTACCAGAAACAGTAGGAGAACAAAAGTTCCCTCACAAAACCATCCCCTGGGGCACTGCTCCGCACCATCGATCTTGTGCATCATCAACACTTACTTTGTGTACACACAAAAGCTCTGATGCAGAATATGGACTAGAAATGTGTACTGTGGCATCAACAGAAGAAAGCTTTACCACAGGATTATTTGATGCTAATTTTTAAGGTCAGCTTCATTTTGAAGATTGGATTTTAATATATTTTTTAAAATATTCATGTTACCAAAGGCCTATCCAAGTTCATTTTCAGCCACTCATGCTGCTCTCCACTATTATGGCCAGAACTTTTTGTGTCAGTATCTCATAGTGCTTTCTGGGCTGCTTAATTAAAAACTGCACAGCATCCTTAAGAGTAGCTATACATCAATATTATTCAAGTTTACAGACAAAAAGGTGGAGCTACTCAGAGCTGGTATCTCACATCAAGCAACCAAGGCAATTTGGGATTTTTAAAGTGTGGATCTGTGCTTTTTCCACCAGAACAACACTCCCATTGTATTTTGTCAGGTAAATATTTTAGCCTCTAACCATAGCACAAGTAAGGAAAACAGCCAGCCAGCTCCTTGGATGTTTGACAGGAACTGATAGTTATCTCTGTGACTGGCTTTTCCAGACACAGTCATTACGTTCTCTTTGGTATTTTACATTTTAAATGCCTATGTAGATACTTATGCAAGATTTTTTACAAAAAGAGAGTGACTAACATTTGTTTTTCCATAGCCTTACTTACATTAGTGCCAGAGGGCCATGAATTTAAAAGTTCTTAAGCAAAAAAAACCAAACCCAAACCTATCAGAGGAATATAATAAGAATAAATGATTGAATACATACACTGAAATATAGAGTAGCTCAGAATTGCGTCCTCTATATGTAATTTGAAACAAAAATTCAGTACAAGACTAACATAAATGAAAGTTAGCGAACAATTCTGTGTGAATTCTAAGACTTTGAGGATCATTGACATTATATATTTGAACATACCACAGTACGGTTTTATCATAATCTTTGTTGTTTAATTTTACCAACAGATCGTTCACCACAGGACTTACCTAGATTCTAAATCTACATGCACATTATTGCTGTGTATTTCTCTGCCTTCAAATGAAATAATTCTTAACCCTGCATCTACCTTCTACCAATTACTATTGCTCACATGCACAGAAATTGTAAAGAGGGAGAAAGATCTCTTACGACTAATATTGTGTGGTGTTAGAGGATTACAGTCATCAATAGCTAGGGTTTCCTGTGATAAACCTCTGTGGTTTAGGCATAAGAATGGTGAAAGTAGATTAATTTTAGTCCTAAACTAGTATTACTCTAGCCTTGATAAAGGTAACAATTGTATAATTAATCTTGTCTTCATCTTTTCTTTGATACTTATATACACAGAAGACTATCCTGGTCTGACAAGTTTGCATTTTTTATTGTTGTTTTGTATGTTTCCCAAGGCTTCGAAAAAGAAATTGGCTTCCCATACAAAGATGCTTCTTTATAGAAAAATTTCTTCATATTTGAATTGGTTTTAACTCCCACAACAGAAGACAACCAAATATTATAAAATGACACACTCCCACTGGGGATGTGGATTTAGGAAAAAGCTGAGCTGCAAGCTAACAAAAAGCTAAGCCCTAAGACCTTCAGTTAAAATATCCTATAAAGAGGATTGGGTTCAGCGACATCAAATCCTCTGCACAAACACAATATAGAGCTTCTGAAGGAAAACCTTTCGAAATGGCCAACCATACCACAAGAAATTCAAAATTTGTCAATAACTGTAAGAAAACAAGTTAAAAGAATTGCACAACATCCCAATTTAACATCTGACATGCAAGATATATTACTGACTAGGTGATGCACTCCAGCTGATTGATTGCACTCAGTGGGAGTCAGGCATGCATTTAAGAGCTTTGCTGAATTGGGTTTGCAAGGTCAAGGTTTATGGAAAAGTTCAGTACTTATACGGGAGCTTCTCCATCAACATCTGTGTTTAGGACAATCCTTAATGCACTTCTTATCATCCCCATGTTTCATTTAAGTTCATTTTTTTTTCCTCAGTTTCCAAAGAAAATAAAATTTTGCAAAAAGCCTCATTTCAGAAATTATATTTCCCTTCCCAAATATAAAATGCTCTGGCTACTTCTGCAGCTACAGACTGAATGTGAAATGACTTTTGTGAAGGTGAGCGGAAAAGATTGCAAATGGTTGAGTAACACCTCTAAATGTGCCACTGCTCTTTAGCTGAGTCATGTGAATTGTCCACATTTGAGCTCCTACCTAAGGTGCAACTGCAAAATAGACTTTGGTATCTAAGCCACCATAGAGAGGGAGCACAGCTGAATTTCTGCTCACAGCAGAGTGGGATGAGACAAGATCACTTTGCAAGATCCAATGCTGTGACTTTTCAGGCAGGAGTAACTAGGTCATTTACAACCATCTGTTCTTAGCCTCCGTTCCCCTGCGGTCATCAGTGAAGCTGTGCACTAATTAGTTTTCACCTGCTAACCAGTGGAGACACTTCTGAAACTAACAAATCACCCAGTTTCCGTCAGCAGATTCTGGACTCCTGTGGCAGCATTTCCATGAGTCTGTATTACCAATAAAAGTAAAAAAATTTCCTCTGAGAGAAGATCCCCTGCAAGGCTTCTGACCTGCTTCATGTACAACAGCCCTGTGAAAGAACAAAGTATCTTGTCTGATTCTTCAGACAAAAACCGTAGACAACTGTCTCCAAATCTTCAACAAAGAAAGTATTTAGGCACCTTATTAATTCTGATATGAGGAGTTAGGCATCTAAATACTTGGAGATATGAACTTAAAAAACCTGCTGGAGGTCTCAAGGGAAGTCTGTGGGGGAGCAGGGAACTGAATCAAATTTTCCTGAGCTCTAGGGAAGCACTCCCATTGCAACATCTTTCCCTTACCATGTAGGTCTACACTAGGCAAGTAGCTTACTACAATGTCACTGAAACTTCATCTTAAAACTTTCAGAAGATGAATACATAGCTCCAAACCAGAATGGTTTTATTTCATTTGTTCTGAAGACTGACAAAGAAAAACTCTTAATGCCATATGCTTTTCAAACCTACCAGCTCTAACTAATGGCACAACTTGTACTGAACTTTGGGTTTTGTTATGTACATGTTTTCCACGTATATATACATTATTTCTTTCATATGTTAAAAAAAATTGCATTCTTCAAATGAGTTGATTTTAGCTCCATGAAATGATCCTGCTTTTAAAAACAAACTTTTGCATTATCATAGTAGTGTTACTTCAATATTAAGTGTTGTAAAAGGAGACAGAGGAAAAACTCAATTAGATAAATGGTGAAAGAAAACATCTGTAGGTCCATGAATAGTGCTAAATGAGAAACAAATGGCAAGAGATTATGATCTGTTTTCTTTACCAATGGTTTCTATTCTGTATCACAGTACCTCAGCTGGAGCTCAGAGAAATATGATTTATAAGGTGTGAACCATGCACGGCATTCATCAACAGTCAACACTAAATAAGGTCAAAATAATAGCTCACAGAAACTATTAGACTATGGCTTTTCACTCTTATGAGTATATAACAAGTCTGAGCAGTAGCCAACCAAGTAGGACCACTCCTGAACTGTAGCAAAGAGAGTTCCTCCCCAAAGTCCCTATATGCAGTATTGTCACGGTGACTGGAAATGGTTGTCAGCTCACCTATGCTCAGCTGCAGCCAATCAATAAGATATTTGCAATACTATCAACAAGGATTAGACATAATTCTAAGGGATATATTCTGTAATCCCTGCTTTTCAAGATGTATGACAACTATATAATACAGCAAAAGTAAAGGAACCAGAAAATTACATCCTTAGAGGCTGATTTTCTGGCTGGAGGGCAGTAGCTGGTGCATCACGTTTTCAGGCTTGTAGCTGATGCTCCAAAGGTGCAGCCAGGCATCTTCAGGCAGCCAGTTACAGGGTTGAGGTCTGATGGCCACGGTGCCATGCAGGTGAGAAATGAAAGTGCACTATGCTCGGGTTTCAAGTTTGGTGAAGTTCAAAACCAGGATCTCAATTAAAATCAAATTGCCTCACCTTTATGAAAAGCAGAGATCATCCCTGAGTGTATATTAAACATACTTTTTCAGTGCACAAATTTTTTGCACAGCTGGGGACAACTGAAAAAACCAACAATAAACATACCTATGAACATGTCTGTGATACAAATTGCACATGTGAGGAGGAAGAAGGAGCAGAGCAGTTAGCACTGGGACTCTGACTTTGATCTAGACCTGCACTGGAGACTTACTCCTCCACTTTTCCCTTTTCTCCCAGCAACGTGGGTTGAGGGCAGGTCATTCACAACTCTGAGTACTGGTGATACTTAGAAGGGTTTGGTCCACCTGAGTTTTCAGCCTGCTTTTAGAAGCACAGGTTAGGGTTTACACCAATAAAGCTGCAATGCAGAGAAGGCTAGCAGTGTGTGCAGGAGCTTGAAGGGCTGTGAGCACCAGCATTACTCTCCCTCACTTCCGCAAGAGAACCAGACCACTGGCAGCAAGGCAAGACTCAATATTTTGCTGTGTCTGGTTGTCAGCCTCACATTCTCTTCTTTCTCAACATGCAGCTTTGGGTTTAAGCTTTTTGTGTGTGCTATGAGACATGCATAAATAAAAATGAGTGGTATCGGGTAATTTTCACAGCAATTGTGATACCCTCGCATAGTACTTCAACAAATCAAGGGAGGCTTTTCCTTTTGGAGAAAGAACTTAAAGTGAAGAATATGAAAATTGCCTATATAATGCTGCCACAGGGATGCCTCTCAAATCACTTCATCGGAATAAAGGAAGCAATGTCTGCTGGTAACAGCTAAAGATCACATTCTAATTTTAGCAGTTGCAGTTAACTCATTCCCAGTGGAGTTGCACTTACCGTGAGAAGGTTTCTAACTGCTTCAGCACTGAAAGGAAACAAGCATCGAGTCATTCAACTGCAGTTCTACAGGCAAATATGCTTTTTGGCCCACGAAGGGAAAGCATATGGAATCTGCTGCTATAACCCATTCAGCCAAATATTTCAACACATTTCTTATAATGCAAATGCTGGAAAAAAAATATCATTTTCCACACAGTGTTTTTGCTGTCCCTATACAAGTATGATCATTAGCATGCACATGCATTCTGTTATGGACAAAGCATGTGTATAGGAACTGTATGCACACTGCATACCAAGAATCAGTAAGAAATGTTTTAATCAACACATTTATTTCCCCTGACATCCAACAGCTAAATTACTAATTTTATTCATAGATTATATCTTATATAACTCAACAGATATTAAGCTGATATATTACGTTTTCATTAAAATTCTGGAGATCATAATATGAACTGTCCCATTTTTTCAATTATCATTTAACTACCAGAATGGTGATTCAGTATAAAGAATATAATTTCACACAATATAGTCACATGTTCTGCATTAACCTCTAACAGAGCCTGCAAAAGAATCCACATTACAACTAGTCAACAAGAGGGGAATAAAACCCAAAAAGCTTCCTTATAGCAAAGGTGATCTAGTACAATGTCCTGAATAAAATTCTTTTACACTTTTGAGACTTTTGTTTGATCCTAAAGCATGCACCTAGTTCTAGGAGAATCCTAGCAGCTAATACCCAAGTATATTAAAAAGAAATAAGGAGTCTCCCAAGGTAAGGCTGTTTAAAGAGTGATTTTTCAATGAATTGTGCAAACAGATTTGCACTTTAGAATAAAATCTTGACCAAGTTATTTCACAGTAGGGAATGAGAAATCCTTTTTCTTTCAAAAAGGATAAGAAAAAAGGAAAATACAAAAATGTTAAATCCATCAAAGGTCAACATAAAATTATGATGTAATGTCAAGATAAGTGTTCCTGAACTGTCATCTGCTTTTCTGCCTGGATTAATCCCTGCTGTGAGCCTGTGACTGAAGAGAGGAGCAGAAATCCCAAGGGAGCTGAGCTCACACAGGCACAAGGAAGGCTTTTGAATGGAGAGTGCCGCGTGTCACCACCGATGAAACAGCAAAACTGGGGACTTGGCGTGAGCCAGCAATGTGCACTCACAGCCCAGAAAGCCAACCGTATCCTGCGTGCCCAGCAGCTTGAGGGAGGTGATTCTGTCTCTCTATTCCACTCTGGTGAGACCCTTCCTGGAGAGTACTGCATCAAGCTCTGGTGTCCTCAGCACAGGAAAGATATGGACCTGTTGGAGCAGGTCCAGAGGAGTGCCACAAAAAAAGACCAGAGGGATGAAACACCTCCCCTATGAAGACAGGCTGAGAGACTTGGGGTTGGTCAACAAGGAGAAAAGAAGGATCTGGGGAAACCTTATAGCAGTCTTCGAGTACTTAAAGAGGGCTTATAAGAAAGATGGGAACAAACTTTTTAGTAGGGCCTGTAGTGACAGGACAAGGGGCAATTGTTTTAAACTAAAAAAGGGTAGATCTAAACTATAATATATGTAAGAAATTTTTTATAATGAGGATGGTGAAACTCTGGAGCAGGTTGCCCAGAGAAGCTGTAGATGGCTGATCCCTAGAAACATTCAAGGTCAGGTTGGACTGGGCTGTGAGCAACCTGATCTAGTTGAAGATGTCCCTGCTCATTGCAGGGGGCTTGGACTAGATGACCTTTGGTGGTCTCTTCCAACCCAAACCATACTGTGATTCTGTTGTGTCTGTCTTCCATGCTTTTTTAATCAACAAATACACATGATAAAACAGGCAGGATCCTGATGCAGCATGAAATAAGTGCCCTAAAGAATGAGTTGTTACCTTGACTCAAACGGGATGATTATTTCTGAGCTAAGTGTTCAGAACATATTTAAACACATATTAAACTTCAAAGGAGAGAAAGTTTGTGACTCCCATTGGTTATAGTTCTGAAGATGAATGTGAGTGAGGCACTATTACTCCTCGTGTGTTGCTAGCACAGCAGGAAGCGGCGTGGATATGGACTGGCACTGAACCTACAGGGTTAGCTCTGGACAGGTTGGAAATGGCTGTACTGGGGGGGCTCAACCCATGCCAGTCCTTGAGCATTCCCTGCTGCGTTTCTTCAGCACCATCAAGACAAAGTTTTCAGGCATCTCCTTTTTTGAGGGAGTATCAAAGAGGTCTAACTGCCCTATGTTTCCCATACCAGGAGATCTCAAATGTTACTCTTTAAACTTTTAATGATTTGGAGAAGAGCAGCAGATGCAGATTCACACAGAATCACAGAACGTTAGGGATTGGAAGGGACCTCAAAAGATCATCTAGTCCAATCCCCCTGCCGGAGCAGGAACACCTAGATGAGGTTACACAGGAAGGTGTCCAGGCGGGTTTTGAATGTCTCCAGAGAGGATTGAGCCCCTTGTTTACCACCATCATGGGTGCAGAGGGGAGACAGCGCAAGTTCTGCCTTGCTGTCTGGCCCAGGTATGGTGCCTGCAGCCATGGGAGTGGGGAGAAGGATTTCCTAGGATGGGAACGGGCAGGGCTATTGCTGATGAGTGTTTTGCAAAGGCTGGATTCATCTCACCATAGTTTGATCACCCAGAATTTAAACATCTAGACGAGGCCAGTTGCCTGGACTACCTCTGAGAGCAACAGGGGGAGACAAACACTGTCACTGTAGGACTCATCTCATCCTTTGACAGGCATTTCTCTATAATAATTGAAAATAATTTTGAAAATTCTAGAACTCTGAAAGGTTACCAGTCTCACTTCGAGGGTATAATCACTGGGGATTAGTCTGATACTAAAAAGTGCTTTGCATCAAACAACTCTCAAAATAATGAATGCTATCAATCTGGGCTAAATACCAGAAGATTAAGAGCTCATCATTCTCCTACCACTCTCTCTGAATTGTCGCATTCCTCACACAAAAGAACAATGAAGTGTCATTTTTAATTGATCTTGAAATAACAAACAAATTGTCACATAATAGTATTTTGACTACTTTAGCTGAATATACCATAAATAAGCCTAAATATGCACATTTTCCTAGGTTAGCTCTATATTTACATATGTTCTTTCTCTCCCCTCTTTTTATTATTTACATTTTTGTTCAACTACCAGCTTTTCTAGGCTTGTGAAATAATCACAGAAGTGACGAGCAGTCTGATGTCATTTGATGTAGTAATTCCCTTGCTCAAGTGAGATTTAAAGGTTTTTAAATAACAGGCCCGGCAACCACAGCTTACAAAAATAGACTGTAACTTCTTGCCTTAGTCTGAATTAAATCAGGGAGTGGCCAGATCTTAACAAGGGAAGGAAAGAACAGAGGAGCCTCCAGAAAACTAGCGACTCTTCCATGACATCAAGCTCTACTGGGAAGAGCAAAAACTCACTAAATTTTACCAATTAAAATCTGTAAATGAAAGACTGAAAAAGACGATCATAGTTACTTTTAAAGGAAATCAATTTCTAGGCTGGAAAAGAAGCTGTCTGCTGTAAATTTTTCTATTGTGTGCTATATATTTTTCAAGTTCTGTAAATTTTAGCCTACATTGTGGATGCATTTACATTTTGCTGAACTATCAGATATGCCTTAAACTTCATTGTATATGAACTACAATTAATAACAGTTTAAAAGTTCTAATCTTTGCCACAGAGAAGCAGCCCTGACTGAATAAGTCTTATTAGCAAAATCTGATGATATTAATATGCAAGAGATGCAAAGTTGGGTGTATGTTTTGTTGTAACATTGCTCTTCTCTGTAACGCAACCTCAAATAATAATGACAAAAACTTATTCAAATAGTGGATCAATAACATGTATGCAGTGAAGCCTTATTCCCTGCTCAGATTTCATTTCTCTTACCTGGTCTCTTCTGTAGCTATAAAGAAACCATCATCTGAAGCATCAAGCCAATTTTGCCTCTGTCTCTTGATCACTGGAATGGTGCTTGTCTTAATGGCACTTGCACTGGCTTGCAAGGCCTTACCATTAGTCATATGAACATGGGGAGCAGCATGCTGAAATCATAACAAAAAATGGGAAAGGTATTTGCCTGAGAAAATGCATAATTCTGTTAACTAATTCTCCTGTAAAGGGCAGCCTACACATAGCACCCTTCTCAAAGACCAGTTTGTCTTCCTCAACCAGCACCTGGAGGCCAGGTAACACACTGACATGTTTTACACACAGCTCTGAAACCTCTTTAAAAACTAAATTAACTATTGCCAATGTCATTCCATACAAAGAGAAATTGAGGGATGAATCAATGCCATGAACTAAGCAGTCCTGCAACTGAAACCTGGTGACTGTAGGAGAGAATTCACATTTTCTGAGCAAAACCCCAGTATCCCAACCAATGAGATATGAGACTTGTTTCTTCATCCAAGTATGGCATTAATCTAATTTTATGAAAACCTATACTTCTCACTTCATAGGTCCTTACTCTGTCTGTCTTTTTAAATAAACATCACTGTAGAAGACAAGTGCTGCTGACCTAAACGGAAGCAGGGTAACAAAATGTTGATATCACTTTGCTGGTGCCATGGTTCTTAGGTTCACTCAACAGTTGTTATGTATATTAGAGCTGACTGCAACATGTCTGCCTTCATTTTAATACAGATAATATTAAACATAAAACAATGCATTCATTTTGCACTAAAACTTATCTGGAATAACTGTGCAACAAGATAGCAAGTACTTAGATCTAATAAGAGAAGCTGTCATCTTATACATGAAAAGAAGACACTAAAAAGAATATTTTCTATATGGTGTATAGGTAACATTTTGGAAGCATGTCCCATGACAAGTATATTAAATTTAGAAGTAATAGTCTTGCTTGCCACATGATTGATTACCAGCAGGAATAAATAATGACACTATTTGATTGAAACAGGCATGTTAGAAGACGAAAGTTTTGCTTACTTTATCTCACATGGATTAAGCATCATGTTTTCATAGGAAGAAGCATGGTTGCTTGGTTAAATAATACAAGTATTCCTCATCACTGAAAGCATTTCTGTAGTATTCCTAAAACATGCACAATTCTGCATATTCATGGGCGTAACCTCTAATTAGAAGGCTGATTCCACAGACACTGAGTAAGGAAGAGGCTGGTAACATCCACGAAGGCTTGCAGAACAGAATGCAAAACTTGTCTTTTACATCATATCATAAAAATACAACAGCCAAAAATAATAAACAAGGGCCTCATTTCTTCTGCATAATTCAAACACTTGTATTCAATGTATTATATTCATATTATGCCACAATTTTTAACACATCCCAATCCATATAATTTGCTCCCTCCAGTAGGACAAATTTTATGCATTCAACAAAAAATTCCAGTGTTCATTATTTTACTGCAAATAATGGAGTAATCTCCTCTATGATTCCTTAGATCTGTCATAACAAAACCAAACAAGAACAAAAAGAGCAACAAGACATCAAATTTGAGTGCTTTACAGATAAGTCCATTTTCCATTGCCTTAGAAAGAAAGAAGGCTTATGGTGAACTTAGTTGCTGTTGCACCTAGTTAGAGCTGTAAATCTATCTTTGTAGTCCCTTTAAATATTTCGTAATTTTTTCCATTTTTTTATTCAGTGTCTAGATCGCAGTTTGGTTTTCACATATTTTTTGTGTTGGCTTTGGTGGGGAGAAATACGTATAGGACATGCTACTAGAAGTAACACATTCGTTTGTTAGAAGAAATTCAGGATAAAATACATAGTTTGGATGAAATTAGAAATTCATTAAAGTACTTAACTGATGATCTCTTAGTGTACGAAGTAGATAGCGCTCAAAAAGTGAGTAGGAATTCATGCATGGGAAATGCTGCCATACATCCAATTTCACAGTATACCCAAACTAAGTATTTTTATCTGGCAATGGGCATTACCATACATTACAGATGAACATTCAAGGACTCAAAGGGCAATACTTTGCTGTGCTTCCTCAGTCAGAAATCGGTTTAAGTTACCAAATATAATGGTTTATATCCTTTCACAGGCTCCCTCCTAATACACTGCTGAATGTTTCCTTTACTGAAAGCAATATGTACAGACAGAAAATGATCAGGAAATGTACAGGGTACAAAAAGTGCATTTCCTATGCCATAAACTCTGAAGAACAGTTAAGCCTCTTGGAAACAGTATGTGTTTTTTCATAATACTTTTTACCTCGGCAGAGACAGATGTTGTTAGCAGTTCTGAACTTCTGCTTTGTCTACTTTTATTAGACCCTAACTCTTATTTCAGGCAAGATGAAACATCACAGAAAATAGTGCAAGGGTTATAATATAATATAATTTCTGTTGCATCATATTGGCTAGAACTTTCTCTTTTATTTTGCTTCGTCCCCAGTGCTTTCAAGCTATTTGAAGAAATTAATTACATTTTACTTAAGGACAACAGAAAATAAGAGCATTGTTCTCCAGCCTGTGTGTTAGGAAACCACATTATCTTTAATTTCTAGTTAATCAAAACAATTGAAATTCTTGAACAGTTTAGAGAATCTGTTCATTATTTCCTCTCTAAAAATATACTTACCACTGTGTATCAAAATGAGCATTCAATGCCACTGTCATATTAATATCAACACCAAAATTAAAATGAAATTTCATACAAAGTACCTGTTAAATGTTTTTCTTTTTTTTTAATTAATTTTCCCCCTCTTGCACACAGTTACGCTAGGAAGGTTATGAAAGCCTCAGGAATGCTACCTGTACCACCACAGAAGCCCTACTCAATCAAAAAACTCTGCATGCAGAAAGCTCCAACAATTTCATCATAACACTGCCGTGTGCAATTAGCAGCTGACATTTTGATTACGACTGTGTCACTAATGAGCTGTGCTGCAACCACACCATTGGTATTAAGAGTCCTCATACCAGAGGCAGATCACAGAGCAGCACCTCAGCAGCAGGAGCTTTACTAAGAGTTAGCTAACTGCATGTTGGCAAATCCGCATCTGTGCTGAGTGACTATTTTCTTCCAAGTTTTTAATCATCTCAATCTGGGTACGCTCCTTCCCAGAATCGTTCCTTGCCCAAAAGTCATCATAAGAAAACCTATCTTGGAACGCACTTGAAAGAAAAACCTCTCAAGGCTAATGGAGCTCTGGTTCAGGCAATGTTGTATCCAGCAGAGAAGACAAATATTTCAGTCAGCACAGAGTTATCTGGGAAGCGTTTCACCTGTCGAACAGGAGGTCTCCATGCTGGAGACTGAACCCATCCTCAGAGACTTCTGAGACCAAAGGTAATCTTTTCAAGGTCTTCAGCAAGGAGGAGCTTATGGGAAGACCATTTGTTAAAATGCCTTCACAGCTTCACCTGTCCCCTGATAAAACACTTCTCCATGGGCACCAGTCTCAGGTACTTCTCTCACAGGCTGGTTCACAGCTCAATTTCTGGAAGCTGCTTGCAAGTGCTTCTAATCAAAACTCACCTGGCACAGGCACAAATGTCCATTTTCCAGTAAGCAAGTCATACACCTCCAATGGTCAATGAATGCAACCGTCCTTTTCACGAGGAAGCTACATAAGAAAGTGTTTCTCTCAGCTAAACCTTCTGGAAGAAGCAGCACTCATTAAATCAGCTATTAACTCCATCAGCTGCTTAACTGTAAATCCAGGTCTTTCAATACAAGGTGTACTAGAAGTAAGGCTTTGCTATGTTTGAGAAACAGAGGAATTAGCTGCATAGCATCGCTATATATGTGATATGTGCTGTAGAGGCAACTACCAGTCCAACTAAGTTTGGATACTGTTCCAAAAGCACCTATAAAGATACTCCACAAACTCCTTACATTAAAGTGACAACTTAAGACAGCATCTCTGTTATGGAGGGTAAATCTCATGTTTTCATTGGCTCCCAGAGGAATTCCAGGCACAAGGATATAAAGATGCATGATCCTGTCTATGTTAAAATGCAAGGTTCTTGTCCAAAAATTTCTCAGCTGGTACTGGGATATATATGGCTGAGTATTTATTCTTTGAGAGCCACTGAAAAGGCATTCAGCTTTGAAATAAATACATAACACCAACAGACATTGTAAGTGTAAAAGTTAATGGTGAATGTCCCTGCTGTGACTGAAAGAATGTTTAAGTGAATTATCACAAATTCCGAAGTGGTCTTGAATTTACGATCTCTTACATTCTTTCCTTTCCTTTCAAAAGGAAAAAATTCCCACTGTCTTAAGTTAGCATTTTAAAAAAATTTTCTCACCTCTAAACAAAAAAAATCAAATCAAATCAAATCAAATCAAATCAGAGCAAATGCAGTTCATTACATGGAGAAAAAAAAATCACTAGAAGAAATCAAGCATGTGCAGATGACTGGTAATAATCCGTATTAATTGGTTCAATATATTTTGCATTGACTTAATTATAGAGGATATAGTGTAAAACAAGTGTAGAATTAGTTTAAGTTTAAATGAGGTATTGATTCTGTCTTGCCACACCTGGAGTGCTCTTATTTGCAAAGGCATTATTAGCCTTATATCTCTAATAAGTATCAAGGTTTGAGGATAGTTTGGTTTATTGATTCACAGAGATTTGAGATGAATGCAAAAATTAGAAAATATGTTCATAGGGGTTTCCACACAGCGTGAAGTTACAAATGTCAGTACATTCATTTTGGGTATAAAATTTCATTAAAAAATATATATATATATTTTCAAGCAACAGATTGTTTAGAAGAAATAAACCAAACAGTCAACACAAGTATTACTTTTGAATCTCCTTATTTGCTATCAAACCTTTCACAAAACACCTAGAATAGATGTAATGCTGAAAATCCAAGTCAGTGGCTCTTCTGTGCAAGAGGAATTAAAAAAACAACCAAACAAAATAGTTGACTTTCCAAAGTTAAATATAGGCTAAAATACTACAATGTTTATAGCCTCTATATTTCATGGAATTTACACAAAAGCTATATAAACTATTAATAAATCATGTCTTTAAAAGCAGCATTTTGAAGTAAATATTTATTTATTTAAATCAGTAAATCAGTAATGAAAGACTAAATTAGTCATTTACCCACAGAATAAAAGGAAATCTATTTTCTAATTAAAACTTAGACAAATTCCTTGCTCCCTTCCCCTCACACAAACCCTTAAAAATGTCTAGTTTTTTACTTTTACAAACAAAAATATGAAACAAAAAATAGGAAGCCATCGCTGTATTTAAATACAGAAGAATTCTTGTGACGTTCTCAGAAAAAAATGCACTTCTTTTTCCTGAGCAAAGCGCACTCTATTCATCATTGGCTTTGATTTAAACATAAATCTAAATCTTCAGGAACAAGATGAGGTTTAATGCCTTACTTATGTTATTTCACCATCTGTACATGCAACTTAGAAGCACTGCAAATACTTCGCCTTGGTAAGACAAAAGGTTTCTACATCAAAGCACCCCAGGCAGTATTCAGATTTGCTGCTATACCTCTCACATTCTGATTGACTAAAGATCACTTTTTATCTGTTACAATATTAACCATAATCAGTCTAACAAGAGGATTGTAATTATTTATTGCAATAGTCATGCAGAAATGGATCTCGGCAATATTGCTTTACTATGTCTGTACTGAATAGATAATCTCATTCTGTTCCTAATGCACCAAATGGTCTATTTTCTGGCTTCACTGACATATTCTACCTACTCATTAGAGAGTAAGAAATTTTCCATTACACAATTTTTTAATTGCAGAGAGGAGTGGACATACTGTTATAACCTTTTCACATTGTCTAAACAGAATACTTGCTTTTAACTGTACTTTATTTAAGTGCAGTGGACAATTACTGCACCCTGCTTTGACTGCAGACCATTAGTCTGAGCAGTCTGAGTTGTCGGCAGAGAGGTCTGGAGAGGTTCACAGCACAAGAATTTCAAGAAGTTATTTAAAAACCTTTCTCTTATCTCTAAAGTTTGGCCATGTTTTGGTGTGAGGACACATTTACAAAGGCAAAAACCCCATTTCTTTGGGTCAGCTTTTAGAGCTGTTTTGATAATGGAAAAGAGAGACTAACAAAATGCAAGTTATCTTCAGAGTAAAATTAACCTCTAGCTCTTTCCC